CAATAAATATAACTTTGTTTAACTACCTCCACGAGTGCCATCTATTATTGCCTTGTTTATCTAAAAGTGCACTTTTCCTTGTTTTAAATCTAGCCAAAAAGCCATGTGTTGACTGTGAAACAGTATACTTTAATTTTATGCATTTATGGTGTAATTACTAAATTTCCGTGTCAATCCATGTTAATTTTTACCACGAATAATGCAATGCCAATTTAATTCAGCACGTGCAGCACAGCAGAAATAGACTCCGTGTGGAAACGATCGCAGACCTGCTGCAGACGCACCGCTCCTAGAGCGCACTGTCGGACCGCAATCGTGTGCAGTGTGAACGCTCTGATCCGTTAACATGGGCGTGGAAAAAATATGCACCACAGACGGAGTGTGTGAACCTGGCGTTACGTTTGTATGCCTGCCCGGTCTGTTCTGTTCTCGTGCTCCATTTAGGCGTGCTGCATTCTGATTGGTTCGGATAGCATACTGCGGGAGGAGGAGCGGAAAATCGTGCTATAAAGCGATTTAGAAATCGCGTAAGCACAAATCGCGATTTTATGACGATTTCAATTAATCTCACAGCCCTAATTGTATGTCCTTTTAGCAGTGGAGAAATTAGCAGAGAATGAAGAGAGGAGTGATTGATATACATTAAGGTCAGTAGGATTTTTCGATTTGCTCCACACACTTTCAGTAGCCCTGAGCTTAGAACGATGCTCACGGAGAACATCAGATAGCCAAGGGGCAGAAGAGGTGGTACGAGCTGGCCTGGAAGACAAGGGAGTGGAGTGGAGCAGAAAGTATCAGTAGCACTGTTAGCATCAAGAGATGATAACTGTTCAGGGGAAGGAAGCAAAGATGAAACCATAGCAGATAGCCGGGAGGGTGTGAGAGAGCGTAGGTTACGTCGAAAAGTGACATGTGTAGGGGTATGTGTTGTGTCAGGAACCATGTTGAGGTTAAGAGTGAGGAGGAAGTGATCCGAGGTGTGCAGTGGAGTAATCAGTACATGATCAGTGGAGCAGTGTCGTGTGTAAATAAGGTCCAGTTGGTTGCCTGATTTATAAGTAGCCGTAGTTAAAGGGATAGTTCACCCAAAAATTAAAATGTGATGTTTATCTGCTTACCCCCAGGGCATCCAAGATGTAGGTGTAACTACGCCAGAGCGTGTACACACCTCACGCACTGGATGCCGTGCGCGCGCTCAAAGACAGTTGGACATAGTGGTGTATTAGAGGTAAAAAAAATGATATAAATACTGTTCGTTTTCTCGCACAAACCTATCGTTTCGTGTCTTAGGACATCAATGTGTCGTCACGAGCCGCAGGGTTTAATTTGGATTTGTCTGTGCATGTTTTTTTTACTCTCATAGATTTTGTTACCATTGCCATGCATTATACGACTGATAGACTGCAACG